ACATATCATCCACATATCAACTAGATATCACCCACATATCATCCATATATCATCCAAATATCGCCCACATATTATCTACATATCGTCCACATATCTTCCACATATTATCCACATATCACCCACATATCATCCAGATATCACCAATCAAATCCAGTATCCTTCTTCAACCCATCATCATTCCTCCATCTGTAATAATCTAAATTAACACTCATACATTCATGCAGCATACATGATATTTAACAATTACATAATCAATATATGTTATACTGCATTAACTTACTGTTAAATCTGTTACAAGACTGTCTAAGTGGAACTTCTATTTATCAAAAAATTAAGAATTTACTGACATTGAATCTAATGAAAACATCGATTTACTCCAAAATGATAGAAATTTTGAAACATTGTATTTACCAAAATAGTTGCATAAAATTTCTTACATCATAGTTCTTTTGAAAAATCATCAAATATTATTAAATTCTCATTTAAAAATGCACTTTTGTGCAGTTGAGGTTTTGTGAATATATTGCCACAGAAATTGGGATTCAAAAGTCGAGTTTAAGTCGAGTAAAACTCGACTTTTGCTTTTCAGAAGTGGAGTTTTAATCGAGTTTAAAAGTGGAGTTTTCACCAGCTATAGTCGTGCCATACAAGGATAAAAACTCGACTTTTCACCAAGATGACATCTGGATGATATCTGGATGATTTCTGGTTGATTTCTGGATGATTTCTGGATGATTTCTGGATGATATTTGGATAATATCTGGATTATGAGAAGTGGAGTTTTAATCGAGTTTAAAAGTGGAGTTTTCACCGGCAATAGTCGTGCCATATAAGGGTTAAAACTCGACTTTTCACCAAGTTGGGGGGAAGTAAAAAATGATAATTGGACGATATGTGGGTGATATCTGGATGATATGTGGATGATATTTGGGTGATATCTGGATGATATCTGGATGATATATGGATGATATCTGGATGATATGTGGCTGATATCTGGATGATATGTGGGTGATATCTGGATAATATCTGGATGAAATGTGGATAATATGTGGATGATATCTGGATGATATGTGGGTGATATATGGATGATATATGAATGAAATGTGGATGATATGTGGATGATATCTGGATGATATGTGGGTGATATCTGGATGATATCTAGATGATATCTAGATGATATCACCCACATATCATCCAGATGATATCACCCACATATCATCCAGATATCAGCCACATATCATCCATATATTATCCAGATAATATAACCCACATATTTAATATATGATATACTGTATTAACTTACCATTAAACCTGTTACAAGACTGTCTAAGTGGAACTTCTATTTATCAAAACATTAAGAATTTACTGACATTGATTCTAATGAAAACATTGATTTACTCCAAAATGATAGAAATTTTGATACATTGTATTTACCAAAAATCATCAAATATTATTAAATTCTCACTTAAAAATGCATTTTTGTGCAGTTGAGGTTTCGTGAATATATTAAAACAAAAATTGGGATTCAAAAAGTCGAGTTTAAGTCGAGTTTATGCACCCATATTTCACCCAGTTGATGACTGGGAAAATATTGGATTCAAAAGTAGAGTTTAAGTCGAGTTTATGCACCCAGATTTCACCCAGCTGATAAGTGGATTTCAACAGTAGAGTTTAAGTCGAGTTATAGTGGAGTTTTAAAGTGGATATTTGCACTTCCAGTTTTCACCTTGATTGGTAAAAACTTGGATTCAAAAGGTCGGGTTTAAGTTGAGTTTATGCACCCAGATTTCACCCAGTTGATGACTGGGAAAATATGTGGTTCAAAAAGTAGAGTTTAAGTTGAGTTTACTCATCCAGATTTCACCCAGTTGATAAGTGGATTTCAACAGTGGAGTTTAAGTCGAGTTAAAGTGGAGTTTTAAAGTGGATATCTGAACTAGTTTTCATCCTGACTTGGTAGTAACTGAGATTCAAAAAGTTAAGTTTAAGACGTGTTTATGCACCCAGATTTCACCCAGTTGATAACTGGGAAAATATTGGATTCAAAAAGTTGAGTTTAAGTCGAGTTTATTCACCCAGATTTCACCCACTTGATAAGTGGATTTCAACAGTGGAGTTTAAGTCGAGTTAAAGTGGACATTTGAACTCCTAGTTTTCACCCTGACTTGGTAAAAACTGGGATTCAAAAAGTCAAGTTTAAGTCAAGTTTATGCACCCAGATTTCACCCAGTTGATGACTGGGAAAATATTGGATTTAAAAAGTCGAGTTTAAGTCAAGTTTATTCACCCAGATTTCACCCAGTTGACAAGTGGATTTCAAAAGTGGAGTATAAGTTGAATTAAAGTGGAGTTTTAAAGTTGATATTTGAACTCCCAGTTTTCACCCTAACTCAGTGAAAACTGAGATTAAAAAAGTCGAGTTTAAGTGAAGTTTATGCACCCCAATTTCACCCAGTTGATGACTGGGAATATATTGGATTCAAAAAGTCGAGTTTAAGTAGAGTTTATGCACCCAGATTTCACGCAGTTGATGACTGGGAATATATTGGATTCAAAAAGTCGAGTTTAAGTGGAGTTTATGCACCCAGATTTCACCCAGTTGATGACTGGGAATATATTGGATTCAAAAAGTCGAGTTTAAGTCGAGTTTATTCACCCAGATTTCACCCAGTTGACAAGTGGATTTCAAAAGTGGAGTTTAAGTCGAGNATCTGAATGATTTGTTTGATATTAATTTGATTTTTTTACGGTCTAAGTCATATGTTCCAACTTCCTCGATTTGTATGGGCGCTACGCTCTTCGGTATGAGACGTCTTTATCAATTTTCTCCTTATAGACGCAACAGATAGAAGTAAGATTAGTAGCGATCAAAAGCGCTTTTTTATCGCATTAAGCCTATACCCCCTTTCATTTTTCGCGAACACTCCCTTTAAACATTTTTCATTTTCATTTAAATGTAGAGATATTGCTTTTATGAAGTATTTAAAAAAACCTGAAACAGAAATTCCAGCCCACTCACATGTTGATAAACATTAGATCCTGAGAAATATTTGTATAGTAAGAATCAGAAAACGTCTGAAAAGACGACTTTTAGACTTGAGTTAAGAAAACTGAAATAACCAGCCAGTTAGATAAAAAAATCAGAAATTTTTTTTTAATTTAGCTTACGAAAACTCTCGGTGCTTATAGGAAAAATTATCTGTGCTTATAGGAAAAATTATCGGTGCTTATAGGAAAAATTATTGGTGCTTAAAGGAAAAATTATTGGTGCTTTTAGGAAAAATTACTGGTGCTTATAGGAAAAATTATTGGTGCTTATAGGAAAAAGTGGCTTAACAAATTATACCTTGGTCAGTTCCATAAAGAAAGTATTCTCCCATCTTTTAACATATAATTTTAGAAATTTCAGCAGAAATAAACATCAGTTGAAAATAATTTTATTTTTTTAACCATTGCCTTGGTGCTTCTTGATCGGCCACATCACAGAAAAGTTTATCCCGACCCCAATGTTTTTTAAAGTAATAGGTTTCTTTAACAAAATTTCATTATTTATCTAATTCAAATCAAATGTGTAAGAATAAACAATTTTTAATTTTTTATCTTAAATAATACTAAAAATTATGCTTTCCTTATTGGGTTGAACGAGGTTTGAGTCTCCTGTACTATCAACCGTTAGCCTTTCAAAAATATTTTTAAAATGCATTCATTTATATAATGTGATTATTTTTAGAATACATAACTTAAAAAAACCATTTTGCTAATTTTTGTATTTTCATTAGTATAATTCCCTCACCGTAACAAAAAAAAAATGTTTGAGGAAAATTGTTGAATTTTTGAACATGATCATGTGTGATTTCACAAAATAAGGTCACCCGTTAAGAACCAGAACACAAGTTCTACCAAAAAAAAAAATACAAATATTTGTAAAGTTTTTAGATGTTGGGCACTTTCCCAAAGGCTTTTTCCCAAGCGGCAACTTCCCCAGGGTAATTTTCCAAGTGGCAACTTCCCAAATGTGCAATTTTACCAACCGGCAACTTCACAAATGTAAATTTTTCCAAATGACAATTTACCAAGTGGCAACTTCCCCATGAAAGAAAAGCGGCAACTTCCCAAATGTACATTTTCCCAAGCAACAATTTCCTCTTATAACTTACTATATTTTCTTTAAAGTAAGTAATAGCCACAGCGCCCGGCCCGCTAGCCCATCCTAGAGTTGCAGAAGGCTTAACCTAACCGTAAATAATAATACGGATCGTTTAATACATGTTTACCATTTGAAGAAAGGGTGTAGGCCGCCAACATGTTCTTGCCTTAACTAAAGGAGAGAAACTGAATGAATTTTTCTTTTAAATTGCGTATTTTCTAAAAAAGTTGAGAAATTCTTTTTAAAATGTAAAACTTAAATGTTCATTAAAAACTTCCTTCATGGGGAAAATGCCGTTTTTTTTCATGGGGAAATTGCCTCTTTGGGAAATTGTCATTTGGGAAAATGTTCATTTGAGAAGTTGCCGCATAGGAAATTGCACATTTGGGAAGTTGCCACTTGGGAAATTGTCACTTGGGAAGTTGCCACTTAGGAAATTGTCACTTGGGAAGTTGCTCTTGGGAAAATGCCTTTTGGAAAGTACTTTACTCATTCCAAACAATAGATTGCTAATAACAATTTACTTTTTACAGTCGCATTGTTTATCATACTCTATCGGGAAACATCTAAACACTGGGTCTCCTAGAAAGAAGCATAATTAACGATACAGAGATACCCAAAAATGATGTCCTAAACTCATAAATTAAAATAATCTAAAGGTTTTTAATTGCATATTAATATTTTGCAAAGAAAGCAAAAGGTTTACAGGTTTAACGTTAGAATAAAAACTGAATAAATTCTGTGCAGTCGTCTCTGAAGTTTCTATGGTTAAAATCAAGAACAGAGGCGAACCTTGTTTATTTAAAACCTTTGACTATAGCATTTGGAAAAGTTTTTTTCCCCTTCAGCGTTCAGTCTTCAGCGCTAAAAATCTATTTGTCACAAAATAAGTCAACTTTAAAGATCTAAGGAACTAAATCTTAATTTAGAAGTTTGTAAAGTTGATATATAGAATATAGAGTCCAGCGCTATCCTCTGCGAAACTTTAGTTCTTAGAGTCCGAATTTAATGAATTTGAGCCGTGGGTCAAATCCGCCAAAAACTGGTTAAAAAATTTAATACAATTTTAAGTGGAACCAACTATATTTGAGCCTCGTCTCAAATATAAGCCGCGGCTCAAATTCTTTAAATTCGGCCTCAGGTATCTTTATGCTATGAAAAATCAAATGTTCTACAAATGTTTGTCAATTTTGTTTTTTAAACGTTAAAATTGTACCTGTAAATCCTTCTTTGCATGTACAAACTCTACGTTCAGTCTAAAAATAAATAATATCAAAAACTTTTAAACTAATTTCTCTTCTTTTGTTTACTCATTAGAATAATATTAAAGGAAAAAAAACCGACAATAAGATTTTTCCACGGACAACGCCGGGCTCTTCAGCTAGCGAAGAGAAAAATAGTTTTTGAAATGCACAAAAAAGAAGACAACATTTAGGAAATCTCGAAATTATAAATGTTCTCACTGTTTGTGTGCAGATTGCGTTCTGTCCACACTTGTGTTTACTACAGGGTTCAGATTCACAAACCAGTTCCATAGTACCATCATATCTACAAATACGTCATAGTTCCATAGTACCATCATATCTACAAATATGTTATAGTTCCATAGTACCATCATATCTACAAATACGTCATAGTTCCATAGTACCATCATATCTACAAATAAGTCATAGTTCCATGGTACCATCATATCTACAAATACGTCATAGTTCCGTAGTACCATCATATCTACAAATACGTCATAGTTGCATAGTACCATCATATCTACAAATACGCCATAGTTCCATAGTGCCATCATATCTACAAATACGTCATAAATATAAAAACTAGGCATTCAGGACGCTTCACAACATTCTATTAACTTTGGTTCGAAATCTAAAAATTTCAAATATTGAAATTGAATAAAAAAAAACATTTTTCAACCTTGACCGGCAATAAGCCCTGTCATCTCCAAACTAATTTTGAGCTAATTCGGTCTGCACAGAATTGGCTCAAATTTTGATCGAGTAACAACGGAATGTTCTTTGTTAGGTTTCAAAATTAATTAGGTTAACTTTCAAAAGAAAAAAACCAGGCAGATGGGTTTCATGCTAACTCATCATGTTTTTCAGTGTAATCATTTACCATCAATAACAATCCTTTTATGCATCGAATAATTGAGTCTTTGCCACAAACTCTGATTTGCTAATCCCTATTATCTTTGCAACTCAATGTCGTACACCTAGGGATGGGATGTTTTGACTTTTTTGAAAAACGATCGTATCTTATCCAAAACGATGAAAAAAATATGAAAACGAAACAATCGTATAGATAAATGATCGTTTTTGAAAACCATGGTTTTTGAAAGAGATGATAGTTTTTAAGAAAAAGAAAAAGAAACGATCGTTTTCACAAAAGGAAAAACTATCGTTTTAAAAAATAAAAAAACGGTCGTTTTCACAATAATGCTGCAAAAAAAAAGTGCTTATGGTATATACTGAATTTCTTTTTGTTAATCAAATAATCTAAAACAAACCTCCATTGCCAACCAGCTGTAGATAAATCAGCATATTCCCAGCTTGTCAGCAAACTTGAAAAATCTCGATTTAAATTTTTCCAAGACTTAAACAAAATTATTGGAATTCAGAGTTTTAATTTGAACTAACTTCTATATCTCAAATGTAATATGAAATAAAAAAAACACTTTTTAAAAAAAGAAAAAAATATGACATAAATATGTTGACATTTTTAAAATAAACATCTTTTCAAAAACAATTTTTTTTAAATAAAATGTTTTCTAATACTTGTACGGAAGGTTTTCTGATGTTCCTCTATTTTGAACTCCACCGTGGACTCCACCAATCTTATTTGAGACAAGCCAACTCTCATTCTGATATAATTATTATTATTGATATTATTATTCTTCAATATTATATCATTCTTGATAATTATTATTATTAATATTATTATTCTTCAATATTATATCATTCTTGATAATTATTATTATTGATATTATCATTCTTCAATATTATATCATTCTTAATAATTATTATTATTGATATTATTATTCTTCAATATTATATCATTCTTGATAATTATTATTATTGATATTATTATTCTTCAATATTATATCATTCTTGATAATTATTATTATTGATAGTATTATGCTTCAATATTATATCATTCTTGATAATTATTATTATTGATATTATTATTCTTCAAT